CATGATAAGTAATTTATAAACTTATCAGTGTAGGGACTATATCATTTGAGAGATCAACTGTACAATATATCAGACATTTTAAAAGAAAACATATCTGAATTTTTCTACAATTATCAAATGTATTCTCACACTGTAGTCATTTCATGCTTTTTAAATGGGGCCAATAAATGGTTACAACAACTTGTAAATTGTATTCTTTATTCTTGTATACAATATACCGAATGGCTGTTCTTTTGGCTAGCCGGGAAGACAACAAGAAATGCAACAACAACGCTTCAATTGCTGTTTTTCATCTTGAAAAGTTTGATGCCTTTATATCAAGATTAATTTAATAGTTTTATTTGGTCCAGGCGCTTCAGAGAAGAAGATTACTTGAAATGTGAAAAGTTAATAGACAACGGACACCACTACGCATTATTTACCCAAGCACTATATTAAATCGGTATTTTAAACTTAAAATGAGAATTATCCGACTACATGAAAAGAGGACAGGAAAATAATCTTGGTTTTTGTATTTTATAGAAATTCTCATAGATTTAATACACGAAATTTCGGTCAGCTTAGAGGCAAGTAGAATTTCTAAGACGTGTTTCAGAATAGTGTAACTTTATATTTTTAGTTCCCTACCAACAAAGTTGAAGGGGACTTTAGGTTTGCACTCTGTCCGTCCGTCCGTCTGTCTGTGCGTCCGTCCTGCAAATCAGCTTTCCACACTTTTTTGTCATGCTTGAAGATATTGGTTTAATATTTAGTATATAGTATAACCATGACAAGTTACAGATCAAGTTCTAATGTTGTTCCGGTCTGATGACTTTTTGCAGAGTTATGGCCCTTAGACTTAGGAAATCACATATTATCTGTTTTTCGCTCTTTTTTTTGTCATGCTTGAAGGTATTGACATCATATTTGCCATATAGTTTAACCATGACAAGTTATAGGTCAAGTTTGAATTTTGTTTTGGTCTGATGATTTTTTGCAGAGTTATGGTCCTTGGACTTAGAAAAGTCACTCAAATAGTCATGCTTGACTACTGTTATATTGATTTTATATTTGGTATCTATAAATTTTCACAATTTATTATTCTAATTCTTTGTACCGGTATATAGTCTGAAAACAGATTTACTAAGTACTGCGCAACAGCACAGTGTATTGCACAACAGCAAGAAATCTTCAACTGAAAATAAATTCAAATCAATTTCAAGTTCATTGACTACATTTATTCTGTGTCAGATCTTATAATGTGTCAAATATTTAATTACAATCCAAATTCAGACCTGTATCAAGCTTGAATATTGTGTCCATTTTTGCCCAAACTGTTCAGGGTTTGACCTCTGCGGTCGTATTTAGCTGCGCTCGCGATCGGCGAAGCACATTTTTATTATTACTTTGCTAAGAAAATGGAAATTTCGAGTCTTGAAAATGCTGTCGGCACAAGTGCACTCTAAATTATTGCAAGTACCACTCCTTCCCTGCATCCCCAGCATCCCCTTCTACTCGGATGTATCGGTTAATGTGGATTTGTTTTTCTATAAAATTTATCTTAAACTGTATCTCTAGATCTCTCTAAAATGATATGCATGTAAGTAAAAGAAGAAAATTTTTCGAAATTAATTACTACAAAAAAAGAATTTATTATGGAGCTCAATGTTGTATTACTAAATGTTGCTAAATTTTCATAATGTGGGTTATTAACATTAAGGGTTAATTATTAACAGGGATGCACTGATCATTTAAACGTAAATTAAAAAAAAAAGAATATAAAATACGGAATTTCAATGCCATCCATGTCTCAGGATTTGTAATTATCTTAGAACGTCAAATGTTTGCGTGGGTGTTATCACGTCGCTTATGTACAATATTGATTATAGGACGCAGTTTTGTAAAATATCCTGAGTTGACAGACAAGACAATTCACATGAGGTTTGTTAATATGCTTCCTTAAGCAATGAAGTCGGGAAAATCAAAAGTTATCAATTAAAATTTACACAGATCTAATTTTTTTGCATAAATGTTCATTTTAAAATATTTTTACTACATAATGCTTATATGAGATCCATCGTTTTGACTTTTATAAGCCACTGGACATCAAAATGTTTAAACAGAGATGCATCTATCCACAGTCTGACCGTTGGTATAAACATTTTTAATTTATCTGAAAGGATGCGTTTCCTAGTAACTTTTATCTCAAAGGAAGCGTTTCCAAACTCTGAAAGGAGGTGTTTTGGTCGATGTTCATAAAAAAAAAGTTTTTGCATGAAGGAAAAGGTTAGGAATCTTATAATAATATAAAATGAAAACTCCGAACTTATATTATAATCTAATTAATTGTATATTGTGTTAAACGGTCAATTGTTTTCGCGTTTTCTGACTTGCAAAAGGAAGCAAAAACGCCGATTCTATCGAAAAGGAAGCGTTATGAATATACACTGTGACACATATACACATCTTTATTCGGCCTTACTAATAGTATTTGAGAAATCTGAAATGAACCTTACCAGGAAAACTAAACATTGACCAATGAACCATAAAAATGATGTAAAGATCAGATAAGTCCCCCCCTCCCCCCCCCAGATGGACATGTACATTTTGTACAACTTACAATCATTCTATATGCCAAATACAATATACGTTGTGATTTCTTATAGAATCTGAGAAATGGACATAACTACCAAAACTGTAAAATGACAAATAAACCATGAAAATAAGGTCAAAGTCAAATGAACCTTGCCAGATGTGCAACTTACAATAATTCAAAACACCAAATATCAGAGACATATTGCTTATAGCATCTGAAAAACAGACATAACCATTTTTTGGCAATATTTTTTATTGAAAATAAAGCATGAAAATGAAAGAGGACACTCACGAACTCAAAGTCTAACATTGAATTACTCAAAGACTATAATACTGAGAAAAGTTTTATTTTTTTCTCGTCGGGTTCAGACGTTCCCCTTACTTTTCAGTCCACTCCTTTGCCCCTGTAGGTTATTGCAAATTGTACACAAATAATAACCCCTTAAAAATGTTGACAGTGCCCTAAATACTACAATCTGACCAAGACTGCTATAACACAGTTTTATAGTAGTTTCAGTTTGACCGCAACAGTCAAGACATGAAAAAGGCTTTCAGGGTACAACTGTAAACTATGACAAACGGCACAGACTTTAACTATTCTTTGTCTATTGTCAGAATATTTTGTACTGAATGTTATTATGTGGTTTCATTACAATGACGAAGGTCCGAGATATAGTTGTAAACAATGCTACGGTGGAAACAAGAAACTTCTGTTCGCTGATGTTGTCATTTCAATGAACAGCTTGAAATTTCTGTTCTGGGTGCACTTTCCAAAATCAGTAAGTAAAATTCTGATTGCTTAAAAAAATCACTTGCAAAATCTTTCAGAAGTGAAACTACATATGCATGGGTGTAAGATCTCTTAAGCTTATGAGGATAACGATTGGCGTATAACATGTATAATAAAAACATGGATAAAAGTGTAAATTTTGTTCAAACCTCTCCTTTTTTATAAAATATGTTTTCCTATTTTAAATTTTGTTAAAAATACAAGTCCCTTATCATGCTAATAAGTCTATAGGGTTATTAGTTTAAAAATTATACTAAATACCTCTTCTATTCCATGGAACTGGATCCTCAGAAATAGATGTCAGCTTTTTCACATCCTCCTTTGTTTTTATCTGATCACTCTGAATCAAAGCTTGGGAAGTTTTCAATATATCACAATCTGATTTAACATTTTGTACATCTATTCTCATTTCCTTCTGATCAACTTGCAGCAACCCATGTGACTTTTTCAAACTATCGTGATCTAACTTTAATGATTTCACATCTTTTTTAACCCTTTTCCCATCCTTTATTGACACAGTTTGTTCATGTTGTAGCAAATCATGAGATCTTTTCAAACTTTTATGGTCAGACTTTAACACCACTATGTCTTTTTTTGATTCTGTTAGAAGCAAATCACATGATTTTTTAAAACTCTCACGACCTGATTTTAATGTAATTATGTCTTTTTTTATCTTGGTATGGTCAGCTTCAATCAAATCAAGCGACCTTTCAATTGTTTCAATGTCTTTCTTGGCTTGTAAGACTTCTTGACTGGACGTGTCAAGTTGTTTTGTAATTAGCTGATCACATTCTTGCTTCATTGTATTTCCTCCTAATCTAAGAACAGCCTGGAAAAGTTTACAAAACCAGTTGTATTAATATTAAAACAAGGAATTATTTGAATCTGGATTAATTTTGAATTCTGGAAAATGTATAAGAAATTTATATTGAAAACTGACCCAATTTAGGAGGTTTAGTCATGTGCGCATGGATAAGGGGGTTAGTTTATACTGAAATATCAGTGAAAGTAAAATTAACCTTAGCCATGCGTGCATGGCTAACCCGCGCATGGCTTACCCACATTTCTAACCAATCTTCCAGAATACCAGAATTCGAAATTTTTTCAGATTTAAATAATTCCTTGTTTTTCACTGATATTATAGTATGAACTATCTAACCCTCCTAAACATGCTAAACCTTGTTAGTTTTCATCATACACTTGTTAATTTTCCAAAATTCAGAATTATATATCCCAGATTCAAATAATTCCTTGTTTTCAGGCAGCTCTCTATTTAATAATTACAAGCTTTCTACGGTAGATATCTGTTTATTGTTGAAGGTTGCATATTACCATCTATATCTGTATACAAATGTATATGTATTTTGGAATAGTTTGTAATTGCGTTTTGTGAACTTGTGTCTCATTGACATATATCCCAGATCTCTTTTCATCATTTATTACGCCTAACAAAATTAGACAGATAAAGTAATTTTAACTTTCATATACATGTTACACAAAAGAGAGGCGTACAATACAAAAGGGACATTCAAACTCATAAGTCGAAAATAATTGACAACGCCATGACTAATAAAGAAAATCAGACAAAGAACAATACACAAAACGCAACATATAAAACTAAAGACTAATTTCTCCCTACATCTTGTATATCATTGTATGTTTATTTATGTAATTTAGCCCTCCTCATATGACAACTTTTTTTATGCAGCTAATCATTGTTCATTTATTTCAGAATTAAGAAACAATGTAAATATTAAATATTTGATCAGGACAGCATTTCGACTATATTTTGGAAAGAAATATATATTTCATTGTTTAAATCGAGTGAGACACTTTTTTAGTTTACATTAGCTCCCCTGTGTTTACCGTGAGGTGGCTCAATGTTTGAAAATCCATCTGAAACAAAAGCAAAATTTGATTTATATTGATCGTCTTTGGTGATCAAATAAACAAGAGTATCCTGAAAAAATTTAAAACAGGAAGTAGGTAGATATTGACATTTTGAGCATTTTTGCCCTGTCAGACTTTATCTATTATAATTTTTCGGGATAACAGACAATTAATGCATCATCCTCATGTTTTATTTTTAGCAACGGCTGCCATGTTAATTGACTGAAAGGGAAAAAACACAAACTTTATACTAAATACCTGGGATCTTTCACAGACATTTTGGCTGAAATTGGGACAGTAGTTTCAGGGAACATCTTTGTAAAAGTTAACAAATACAATGAAGGATTCCAAGTGATAACAGCAGTGTTTTAGCATGTTTAGTTCTAACATGTCTAAGATTTTACTTAAATTACTTATATCCTTCCAAACTGAAGTAAATAATGTGCAATCTACCGTGCCATCATGATGATGAGCCATGATGGATCTATAGCGTTTAATTCTAGGTTTAACTTACATTACTTATATCCTACAATGATGTAGTAAAACAATGCCATCTATCTTGCCATCATGAAGATGTGCCAGGATGTTTTATAGTGTTTAGTTCCAGGTTTTACTTACATTACTTGTATCATTCAAAGCTGTAGTAAATAATGTGCCATCTACTTTGCTATATGATGGTTCTATAGTGTTTAGTTATAGGTTTTAATAACACCACTTGTGTCCTTAAAAGTCATAGTAAATAATGTGCCATAGATCAACCATGTCTACCTTACCATCATGAAAATGTGCCAGTAAGTTTCTATAGTGTTTAGTTCTAGGATTTACTTACATCACTTATATCCTTCCACGCTGTAGTAAATAATGTGCCATCAACCTTGCTATCATGAATATGTGCCAGTAAGTTTCTATAGTGTTTAATTCTTGCTAAATCTGAGGCAGGTATTGTTTCTGTAGTAACAGGTAGATTGTCATACCCATTTACCGGAGGAACCAAGGTTGAGGTTGGCAGGTTCCTAAGCAAAGCTATCATCAGTGTCACATCAAAAGTCTTAGAATCTGTGGTGCCTGGTAACAACAAAAAATCTTTAAGAAATGACTGTTAAACTTTCCAAAACTTTTAGAATCATATTTTAGATAGACCATGATCATGACATACCGTATAGCGGGTTATTTTCGCGGGGTGTAAATTTTCGCTTATTTTCGCGGATAGAACAAAACCGCTAAAATAAATTCCGCCAATTTAAAAGGGCACATGCAAAGGTATTGATAAAAGTTTTGAATCCGCCAAAATAATAACCGCCAAAATTTTTTGTATACCTTATTCAATGAAAATCGCGAAATTTTACACCCGCGAAAATAAACCTCTATACGGTAATCAAACATCAGATTAAGTTTTCATACTTTGCCAAAATGTGAATTACGATTCTGCCTTTTAAAAAATACTAAAATTTAATGCTATTGCTGTCATTGCTATGTAAAAATTTTGTTATTTGAGTTTAGATCCGATTACTATTTAAAATTATTCAAAACACTAAGGTTTTTCTACAACCAGGCATATAAATATAAAAATAAGAAAGTGTGGTATGATTGCCAATGAGACAACTCTACATAAGAGACCATATTATGATGAAGGTTAGCAACTATAGGTTACCGTGCTGACTTTGATCAATGAGCAAAATCCATACCAAATAGAGAAAACTAACGGCCTGAACACTGGTTAAACATGTTTGTGGGAATGTGGGCGCGCCAACTCTCCCTTAACCCGGGGATTGCCATAACCATATTTGGCTCAACGTTTCAGACATTTTGGTTTTTAGTTTTCTTCATCTTTCTATTTTATTTGGCTTTTCAAGTGTTTTGATTTGAGTGCCACTGATAAGTCTTATCATGCTTATGTAGACAAAACCTCTGTCTGTCATATCAAATTATTAACAATGTGGTCAATGCCACTGCTAATGCACATTTCTTCCCCAAATGTATCACCAGCCCAGTAGTCAGAACTGTTTTAAATTGTGTTGTCATGAAATATCTTTGATATGCTAATTTTCTGTAAATTATCTGTTTATCAAATATTGAATTTTCTGAAACACTAAATAAAGGCAACAGTAGTATACCACTGTTCAAAAGTCATAAATCGATTAAGCAAAATCCGGGTAACAAACTAAAACCGAGGGATACACATCAACTATAAGAGGAAAACAACGAAATAACAGAACACAGAAGTGCAAAAAAAAAAACCAAACAAACAACAATGCAACATTCATAGAAAAGAAATATTAGATAACAACTGCCATATTCCTGACTTGGTACAGGACACTAAGGTGTTTTTAGCACCAGGCGTGGATTGCCATTAGCTGTATTGGGCACAACTTCTCAGAATTTTAGGTTTTTACTGCTCTCCAACTTTGTACTTGATTTTGCCTCCCACTGTTTTGATATGAGCGCCACTGGTGAATCTTTTTAGACAAAGCATGCTTCTGACATACCAAACTATTAGGCCATAATCTAGCCTGTGAAATGACAATTTCAGTTGCTAAAAAATTTTGAAATTGCTAAACTCGCCGGCCAACTGACTTCATTTTTTTGCATTTGCACAAGGTCATGCTTTTCTATGACTGTTAATGACCTCTTTACACTAAATCCATTGGATGTTTAATGTGTACTGATTGATATTTTAGTCTTAGATACATGATTCTTTTATTAGTTGTTACTGGAACTGCACTAGCTTTAAGAAACTGGGAGTGCTCTCAGATCTGTACTTTGTGTCTTTTGTGATTTTATTAGGTTTTTTTTTGTGCTTTGTATCGATCTCATCTGAGTTAAGATGATGATGGATGGCTGTTTAACGTCCAGCAGCAAATTAATATGCATATATTAATAATAGGACGAGAACATGTTAATATAATATGAATATTAACCCTGCTTTGTGCTAGACCGACAAGCTGATACAAATTTTTACCATGCAAGTTCACAAGGTAACAGTCCACATGCAGGAAGACATGTCACCTTACCCGGACATATTATTCTGATTTCAAGCTGACCAGTCTTTGCTTTTTCTCCTTAATGCCGCATGTTTAGCAGAGAAGCATCACATACCAATTTTAAAGTCTTTGATTTGACCCGACTGGGTTCGAACCCACAACCTCCCGCACTCAAGGAGAACACACTACCACAAGACCACCAAGGAGGTTCTCATCTGAGTTAAGCCCTTTTCAACTGATTTATATTGTGTGCTCTAATGTTGTACAGTTACACCTCAGTACCAGGTTAAGGTGAGGGTTCAGCGACAGTAAACATGTTTAACCCTGCCTTTTCCCAAGTCAGGACCCAGTAACTCAGTGGTTGTCGCTTGTTGCTGTATATCAAATATTGTTTTTTTGTTAATGGTTTTGTACATAAACATGATAAATCAGGCCGTCATTTTTAACTGAATTGTAAAATATTTGGGTTTTTTTTGGGGGTGGGGGTCTTTTATAGCTTACTATACGGTATGGGTTTTTGCTCATTATTGAAGGCCATCGGTGACCTAAATTTGTTAATGTCTTTATCATTTGGTCTCTGGTGAAAAGATGTCTCATTGGCAATAACAACACAAAATCTTATTTTTAAACAGGAGATCCCATTGTACCTGCTTTGTTACACATATATATATACTTCCTTCTGCGAGTAACCAGGAGACACAAATTTGACCATATTGGAGCCAAGCTACTGGTAGGAAACAATTGTACCTAGTATATAATAAATACTTTCTACTGCTAGGAAACAAGAGATCTCACTGTACCTAGTGGATTACATATATACTTAGCACTGCTAGGGAACACGACATATCTCTGTACCAGGTTAATTACATTGACTTACCACTGGAAGGAAACGGGAGATCACACTGTACCAGGTTAATTACATTTATTTACTTCTGCTTAGAAATAGGAGATCCCACTGTGTCTGGTTAATTACATTTAAGTAAACACTGCTAGGAAACAGGAGATCCCACTATGCCTGGTTAATTACATTAAATTACCACTGCTAGGAAACAGGAGATCCTACTGTGGCTGGTTAATTACATTTACTTACCACTGCTAGGAAAAAGGAGATCCCATGGTGCCTGGTTAATTACATTTACTTACCACTGCTAGGAAATACGAGATCCCACTGTGCCTGGTTAATTACATTTACTTAACACTGCTTGGAAACAGGAGATCCCACTGTGCCTGGTTAATTACATTTACTTACCACTGCTAGGAAACAGGAGATCCCACTGTGACTGGTCAATTACATTTATTTACCACTGCTTGGAAACAGGAGATCCTACTGTGCCTGGTTAATAACATTTACTTACTACTGCTAGAAAATAAGAGATACCACTGTGCCTGGTTAATTACATTTACTTACCACTGGTAGGAAACAGGAGATCCCACTGTGCCTGGTTAATTACATTTACTTACCACTGGTAGCTAGGAAACAGGAGATATGACTGTGTCTGGTAAATTACATTTACTTACTACTGGTAGGAAACAGGAGATCCCACTGTGCCTGGTTAATTACATTTACTTACCACTGGTAGGAAACACGAGATCCCATTGTGCCTGGTTAATTACATTTACTTACCACTGGTAGGAAACAGGAGATCCCACTGTGCCTGGTTAATTACATTTACTAACCACTGCTTGAAATCAGGAGATCCCACTGTGCCTGGTTAATTACATTTACTTACCACTGGTAGGAAACAGGAGATCCCACTGTGCTCGGTTAATTACATTTACTTACCACTGCTAGGAAACAGGAGATCCCACTGTGCCTGGTTAATTACATTTACTTACCACTGCTAGGAAACAGGAGATCCCACTGTGCCTGGTTTATTACATTTACTTACCACTGCTAGGAAATAGGAGATCATACTGTGCTTGGTTAATTACATTTACTTACCACTGGTAGGAAACAGGAGATCCCACTGTTTCTTGTTAATCACTTTTCTTCTTTTCAAGTTATTCAGCGTTGCCTTAGTAGTCGTAGTGTTTATCGATGAACTGAGAGATGCTGGAGGAAATTCTTTATCAAACAGGACACGAACTGCACGTGGAGAAATTCCAGTGAGTAACAATGCCATTCGTACATAGTTTCCCTCTTCTGGTGACAGAGCATTAGATGCCATCTTGGTCGCTTTTGAATATGTCAGGATTATAGTTACTTATATCTTGGGATCATATTATGGACTGTAATCAAAAGAAGAGTTGGTCTTTAGAAACTTCTTCTCAATTGCATGTTCGGTCCTTTATTTTACTGCTTTTAAAACTTGGAATTTCAATTAGATTTGGACCTATCAGATACTGCAGTTTCTGTTTCACATGTTTTTAAAACCAAAGCAGATTGTTATGTTGGTATCAATATCTTCCTCCATGACTACAGTAAGTTCTCTCAGTAGTTATTGAGCCCTGGAAGAACAAAATAAGATGATCACACTTAAGTATCGTCCCTGAAAAATTAAATGACCGAGAGTCACAAGCATACCGTTCAGTCACAGATATGTGATGTATATTTTTAATAGTCATTAATTTGAGTCACTAAAATTCAATAAATTCACATTTTCATTTCTTGTCTGTATGCCAGGCCATTAGAAAATCTGCATTTTTGTAAATACTTATGAATAACATATCTTTAGAAGTCTCATTCTTTTTTTAAATTGTAGAAAAACATATATATATTTTGCACTTATTTTATACGCTAGTATCAGTGAAGTGACGTCAATGCGGTGTTTAATCAGATGGTAAGTACAATAACAAATTTCGACTGAAATTGACATTATGACCGATTACAGACTACATTAGGATAGTCATTTGGTCCACTTAAAAAAGGTAAAAATTAGTCTGTCTGAAGCTGTCAAAGTGAATTATAGACCCCCTTAATATCAAAATGTCCATATTTTGAGTTAGAGCTGGTAGACTTTTCCATAATTTTGATATTATTTGTCCCAAAAGTAGTACACTACAGTGTAAAAATCTTATTGAGATAGAGAAGGTGCGATTTTTTTTAAAGTTTAATTTATTGTCTAAAACTAAAAAAATGCACTACGAAATAACTGTGTTCTCGGGCCTCGTGTGTCGAATCAAAAATGTTATCCTTATTTGTCAACCTATGAAAATGAAAATGCAGGTCACCATATAATTTTTTAATAATTTATTCAATCTTTCAAAACATATAGATGAACCAAAATTAAAAAATATACAAGACCAACAAAGGCTAGAGATTCCTGACTTAGGACAGACGCAAAAATGCGGCGGGGTTAAACAGGTTTTATGAGCGCTCAACCTTCCCCCTTCACCTCTAGGAAATGTAGACATATATAACTTAAACGTCCACAATTTGGAGTCGGTGTCACTGCCAAAGAATAAATATTGGGGTTCGTAACAAATATTGCCTCTGCAGCTGCCCCAAAGAGCCCACTCTTAACGAAATCTGCAGAAGGGGTCTTTTACATATATGTACTATAGTTTAGTTGCTATCTTCCTTTACGTTAAATATAACGGTGCTAGCTATGAAATTTAATAATAATTAAACTACAAACCATCCACTGTATTTCAAAATGCTATATGTTTCTTCAGAAAATAACCATACTTTGAGTAGTGATTATGTAAGCAATCCATTCATTTTTTTACACAAGACTCAGATGAAATCCAAACAACAAAGAAAATCAACAATACTGTATACAATTCTATAAGCAATCATCATTCAAAAATGTTAAAGAGGTACACCAAAAAATTTAAATAGTTTTCCCCATTTTCACGCAAATCTAATTTTGTAACTCGCAACTCGACTTTTGTAACTTGCAACTCGACTTTCGTACCTCGCAACCCGACTTTTGTAACTCGCAACTCGACTTTAGTAACTCGCAACTCGATACTCAACAACAAGTGAATCTCGTTGGCCACAGGCTCACCAGCCTAGGCTTGTAAACTTACTATCAGGCCTGTAAGAATTTCTATCATCCACCAATAAAATCTATACAAAACTATACAAAAAATGTTGCATCTGGCCTGTGGCTGAATGATTTGATCATGATCACTGCATATTGCCATATAGTCTGGTGTGCATGTACATGATATAGGGACTGTACACATTCTAGTTATTTCATACTGTATCTGTACTTGCGCCATGAACTTCTAATAATTTTCCTATTTTCATTTTCATCTAATACGAGTTTTTTGAAGAGCAAAATAAAAAAATAAGGAATGTGCATAAGGCCATTAAGGGAGGGTTTGGCTGGGGGTTTTCAGTATAGAATGAATGAACCAAAAACATTACAATAAAGAATAATGGGTATATAAAAGTCTAAAGAATAGAGAATAATGGTCTAAAAAATTAAATAATACAGAAATGAAGGACCCTCAATCCATACCGTCATTAAGGGGGAGGGGGAAGGGGGTCATACATGAATACCAAATCCTAACTTTGCCTTGGAACATGCTACTATGCAGGAGTGCGGCGATATAGAACGTCGATTCATACCTGTAGAAAGAAAGAATGTGCACATTTTTCCTTCAAAATCTTGGATCCATGATCATTATGATAGACATGCATTAAAATATTGTTGATTTCTTCTCACCGAATGCAATTTACAAGCTAAGTTGGAAAAAAAATTAATTAAACAAAACTATATTGTGTTTTATAGAAAATACAACCATAAATATGATAAAACACACAATTTTCAATACTAACATGAAAAGTCTTACACATGAATTACATAAAACTCTCAAAATTGGCACATTTCATTAAAAATCTAGACCAATTGTTATCTACTACTTCAAAATCCAAGATTGAGGAAGACACCCCAGCCACCTTAAGTATTTTAATAGGGGACATTTATTTATATTTTAAATCAAACTGTTTCCAAAACACGTTCTCATGATTAAAAATATTAACTGAAAATTATTTAAAACTTTAATTTTATTTTTTCATTGCATTTTAAGGTGGTACCAAACACCTTGACTAAAATTAATTTGTCTCGTTTAATTTTCATACAATTTTGACAAAATATTTACTTTGACCCTTTGACAAAAATATATAAAAGTTTTAAAAAACTTGAACCACACACTTTATCAGAAAAATTTCATTGGATATATAGCAGTTTAATAAACACTAATTTTGATCATTGAGAAGCTTAATATTGCCTAAACAATAGAACGTGATTAAAAGGTTCAGCTGATTTTTACAGAGTTATCTCCCTGTAGTGTTATGTACCACCTTAAATTTAAAATATCAATGTATTATACTATATCAATTCAAGCCAAGCCATACAGTCAGGGGTACTACTTGTACAAGTAATCTTTATTTACTTGAAGAAGTAAATAATAATATACTTATATAAGTAAATTATAATGTTTGAATAATCTACCCTTAATTTTCTCAAAAATTTACTTGTATAAGTAATTTTTTTTTTAAATCCCGAAAAATTCTCAATTTTTGAGATGTAAAAACATGCCTTTAACAATTTTTCTCAGCTTAGCTCATAATTTTTTATTAGAGTTCAATGTTTCATCTTATTAATTCAACAAAGAAACTAATTGCGCAAAGATCTTAAGTATTTGCACAAGGCCTTCAAAAATTGCCCCTTGGGGGCTTGTAAATGAGCAGTGTTCTGAAGATAACAGACAAATGAGATTTTCATTGTCCATGAAATTACACTTAAATGATTAGTAAAGACATCTGCAAAGGACAGACAATTAAAAATTCTATTAGAGCAAAGAAGTCCTAAGAAATTCAAGAAAAGAAGATAGGATGACATTGACTTTTTTACTTGTATAAGTAAAATAAAATGCTCCGCTGGGGCGCAGATTGATACGACCGCAGAGGTCGAACCCTGAACAGTTGGGGCAAGTATGGACACAACATTCAAGCTTGATACAGCACTGAATTTGGATTGTAATTAAATATTTGACACAGCATAGGTTTCTGACACAGAATGAATGTGGTCTAAGAACTTAAAAAATTTTAATTTATCTATTCAAACCATATCATTATTATTTGCTTTTATATATAAATCAGAAATTTAAAATGGAAAATTTTAAAGAAAAAAAAGGAAAAAAAAATTCCCCCCCCCCCCCCTAATTTGTTGAACCCCCTTATGATTCATCACCCCCAAACTCAATCCCAGCCTTCCCTTTGTGGTATGGTACCTTGCAGTACACATACATGTGATGGACTGTGAAACTCAGATCAGGAATTTGAGAAATTTTGGTCAGGAGATTAGGACTCAGATCAGGAGGTTTTTAATCGACATAAATTCTGTCGTAAATGTAACTGTGTACTGTACAATTTCAGAGAGATCCATACATTTGAACACAAGTTATTGTCTGAAAACTAGAAAAATGCTTGTTTTTTGGCCCCTTTTTGGCCCCTAATTCCTAAACATTTAGGGCAATTACCCCCAAACTGAAACCCAGCTTTCCCTTTGTGATATGGAACCTTGCAGTACAATTTCATAAAGATCCATACACTTACACACAAGTTATTGTCCTGAAACTAGAAAAATGCTTGTTTTTTTGCCCCTTTATGACCCCTAATTCCTCAAATTTCTAGGGAATTACCCCCAAAATCAATCCCAGCCTTCCCTTTGTGGTATGGTACCTTGCAGTACAATTTCAGAGAGATCCATACACTTGAACACAAGTTATTGTCTGGAAACTAGAAAAATGCTTATTTTTGGCCCCTTATTCCTAAACGTTGTGGGCAATTACCCCCAAAATCAATTCCAGCTTTCCCTTTGTGATATGGAACCTTGTAGTACAATTTCATAAAGATCCATACACTTACACACAAGTTATTGTCATGAAACTAGAAAAATGCTTGTTTTTTGCCACTTTTTGGCCCCTAATTCCTAAAATTTGGAGGCAATTACCCCCAAAATCAATCCCAGCATTCCCTTTGTGATATGGAACCTTGTGGTACAATGTCAGAAAGATCCATACACTTACACACAAGTTATTGTCATGAAACTAGAAAAATGCTTGTTTTTTGCCACTTTTTGGCCCCTAATTCCTAAAATTTGGAGGCAATTACCCCGAAAATCAATCCCCACATTCCCTTTGTGACAAGGAACCTTGTGGTACAATGTCAGAGAGATCCATACACTAACACACAAGTTATGTCTGGAAGTTACAAAAATGCTTATTTTTGGCCCCTTTTTGGCCCCTAATTCCTTAACTGTTGGTACCATAACCCCCAAAATCAATCCCCACCTTCCTTTTGTGGTACTGAACCTCATGGTAAAATTTCAAAGAAATCCATTCACTTAAACTAAAGTTAGAGAACGAAAACCAATGTGTCTTCGGACGACAACGACGACGAAGCCGACGACGACGCCAACATCATACCAATATACGACCACACAATTTTTTTGCGGTCGTATAAAATCTGAATGTCTAAGGGACACAACTAAGCCAAAAAATAATTTACCTATACAAGTAAATAAAATACAGTTGTATAAGTATCCTACAAATTTACTTATATAAGTATATTAATATTT